CATTTCTCCTCCAAAATAGTTATAATGCCATGTGAGTGGATTTGGAGTAACGTGCCATCGATAAGCATTCCAGCGTGCAAAGTTTGTGTGTTCAAACGAATTCCACATTCAGGGCATTGCGTCAAAGTATCCGCCACCTTCTTCAAGACATAGGTCTGGTCTTTAAACCCAATCACAATGAATTTGTGCATATTCTCGTTGTACGTTTTTAACGTCCAAACATTTGTTGGGTTGTTCAATGGAAATTTCATGAACTCTTCGACACTAAGGCCATTAATCAATGTCTTCACAGTGCTTCGACTGCCTTTCCCGACAAACGCGTGAAACTTCAAAACCTCCTCGTCGTCCACAACATCCAAACACGTCAACGGGTGATTTGAGTTGATTTGAATGTCAGTCTCCAAGACAGTAGCATGTGGGCGATATGGTAATGAAGTCCCATTGGTTGTCAACAGAGGTGGAAGTTTAATGATTAAATGGTTTTGGCACTCTGAAGCGCACAGGAGGGAGTCCGAGTTGATTGCCCATTGGACGGAAGGTGTTATTGTATCGACGTAACAAATTGCTTTGTTTGTTGTATTCACCAAGAAGACGTCCCCAAGTTCATTTTGTAATAGAAACAGATCCGCTCCGTTTTGTTGTAAATACACCAAATTGGTGATACACACTTTCACAGACTCCTTACTGTTTTCTCTGCATGGTACTTTGTATGAAGTCGTCACGCCATCTATGCTCAAATATAATTCATCATCGCGACTATATCCATAGCTGTTTTTCTTTGGAAAATCTGTCAATGAATCTCATATGAAGTGATAGAACGTACAAACTGTATATCTGCCCAACATCAATAAGTACATCTTCTTCTTTGATCTTCTCTCCACTGTCCGGTAAACACAATTTGTAGATCACCACCTTCTTCTTCTTTTCATCAATGGAATAAACCAAAAACGCATAGTAATTCTCCAACAATGACGCACACCCAAAACAAACAACATTCCCGAGACTGAAAGCGTGTTTTTCAAACGTCCCGTGTTGCTGTTTATAATAAGTGACGTCTCCATTCATCGCAACTCCAACAAAATTCCCAGTCGAAATGTCACTCACAATATACCGAGAGGGACAACTCCGCTCTGACACTTTACCAAATTGATCGCTAAAAATGACTTCCAATTTGCCGTTCTCAAGGCGAAGAACTTGTGTGGAGTTACACAACCCAATAATAACAAAATCAACATCCGAGTTAATATTGCAAACACATGAAACAGACTTAACGGTGTTATAACTGTCAAGCTGCACAACCGTTTCGAGTGTATCTTCTTCATCCCCCGGTACTATTTTTAATAATTCAATTTTCCGCTCGGCTTTGACAACAACAAAATTAACAGCAGAATCCTCGCTCACATGTCCGCTACAACACGTCGTGATCGCGGTCGGCTGGACCAATGTGTAGTCCACAAATTGCATCTTTTCTCTTTTTCAGTTTGAAATCCGATTTTTCTCTTTTCACTTTTTTAAAAAAATCTTAGGTATTTATATTATTAACTTTCACTTTTTTATAGTAAAATTTACAATGGACGTTTTTTTTGTTCCACGCTGTAGCAAAGAGAGATCATAACAAAGTAAAAATGAAGAGAAAAGCAACTTATTTCTTGAGTGGATAATTACTGAGACAGTCGATGAAAGTTTGTTCTGTAAGTGCAATGGATGAACACAAAAAGTCCTTTTTAAGATTTCCATTGAAGACATGACCTCCATGTTCTCCAAAATGCATTTTCCATATATTAAAGAGTGTTTCATTTCTTTCCAAATTAGTTAAGAACGTCTTGATGTTCTGTGTATCCCATCCAGTTACACCATATTCACTCTGTGTCTCGTACTCAAATTTCCAGTCAAGTTTGTTCTCCACATTGCATTTCTCGATGTCCAAAACGTATTGCTTCCACCCAACTACACTCTTGTCACTGAATTCCATTAATCTGAAACGTGGGTCCAAGGAAAGTTTTGTGGTCATGGCTGGATTAACGATGCAATGATAATGGGCAGTATCGTAGGTTGGGTATATTTTAAACGAATCGTAATGAGAGTGCCCACACAAATGAGTAATAATGACATCGCTGTAACTCTGCATTAACTCATCGAAGTCCGCATTGAACTTTGGCGCCAAATCAACAATACCAGTGTTTTTAAGACCAATGCACTCATGTGTTATTATAACGATCTTTTCATTTGCTTTTTGTGCAAGTTGCAATGTTTGGTTGAACCACTGCACCATTCCAGCTGGGTCGTTTGTGGCATAGTCTCCACAATGTACTCCGTACATATCCATATACGCAAAGTTCATTGAGACAAGTCGGATATTTGATTCTATCAACTCACTATAATATCCACCCTTTCTAAACATTTCGAGAGATCTCTCGGAGAGCCAAGGCTCAAACAGATCGGCCATGATATTTAACATCCATTCACTTGTTGGTGGATAGTCCCAATTACTATTTATTAATAAAAAACTTTACAAAGATACATTGTTGTCACAACAATGAGTGTTGTTGTCGTGACACAACAAAACGGGCTTTTAGTATTAAACAAACCTGTGGGTGAAATAGTCATGCTACATGTAAGTGTCATTATCTAAATGATAAATACAAACAAACATTTCCTGGTGTTGGAAACACTTTGAACCCAGGTAGCCTCTTTTGAATTTCTTGGGCTTGTGTCTGGATATGATAGACGTTTTTTTCTTTTGTTTGTTGGAGCTCAGTACACGGTAATGTGTCCATCATCCAAAAGACCAATTGTGATTCGTCTTTATGTGCATAAATATAGTCAAAAGCAGTTTGCGAGACATTCAAAGGAGGGTAACAGTTATAATGTCCACAAGGGCCTGATGTTTCGATTTTTTGATTCTTGCTGGGTTGACTGTTTGAGTGGCAACACTACTATTAAGTACTTACCTTCGAGTATAAATATATAATATTATATACTTAATACTTAGATATAACACAAACATCCATCTGTGGGCAATACGAGTAAGACCCAACCGAGTAATCTTTATCAAAGTGTGTGTCTGTAATGACCCAGGCTTTGAATGCTTGTGTTTGAACCAAGGACACTAGAAAAACCAAAAACAACATATTTCTTTAGTTTCAGTTCAAAAAAAAATAGTTTAGTATTTTTGAAAAATCTTTGCTTCGTTTTGTAAAATGTTTTTGAAATCAGAACATTATAATTGTTTTATTAATTAGTTTTATAATATTTTTAATTAAATAAGTGCCTACAACAAAATCATTCAAGTGGACACTTCGGTTAGTGGTTGCCTTTTTTATTGAAAAAATGTAAAAAATAAAAAAACTCATGTATTGTTTGGGTTTATTTAATTAAATTGTTAATAGTTTATTATATATTAAATTATAGTTATATTTTAGTTTTTATAATCAAATAACAAAATATAATAAATTAACCTTAGGAAGTGAAAACTGGATAATTTATATCCTTGATTTTTTCACTTAAAATAAGTCACTTTTTTTTATTTTTGTATTTGAACTAAAAAGATCTTAAATTAAGAACTGCGTGTCACAAACCAATTTAAATAATGAAAAATTGATAAATTCCGAAACGCTCTAATGAAAATTCATGTGTATGTCTCGTAACAGCAAGTGTTGACTATTTTGAACACATGGAAAATAGGAAACATTGGTCTGTAAAGACCAGTAGTTTGCGCGAAAACTAATCGATTTCGTGTTTTGAATTTATTTTTAATTATTCTAAAAATAAATTATGATCTAGATAAATCTTATCCAGATTTCACCTTCCCACAAAAAAAGTTGATTCAGTTAACTTGCTAAGGTTAAATTATTTGTAGTATTAATTAAAAAAAATAAAAAAATGCTGAGAAGAAAATTATTAAAATGTCCATTGAAAAGAGACTCGAACTCCTTGAAGCAAAATTTGAGAGCGAACGCCTTCAACGAGAAATTTTTGAATTAAAAAACAGTGAATTGAACAAAAGAGTCCAAGACCTTGAAACTTTACAAATGGTGATGTCTGGTGATTTAACAATATACCAAGAACAAATAAAACATCTCCAGTCTCAAGTTTCAAGTTTGGTTGCTTTTGATCTTGAAACGAAGAACATTGAGACTTTAAAAGAGAGTGAAGACACGAACATGAAAAATGTAATTTCATCATATATACAATGCGACGATATCACTTCGCCATTGGACTTCACCGATTTTATCATCTCAAATAACAAGAAATAC